TTTGGTTCCATTGGGGCCTTTCTGGGACCCAATTCCGTCTCTGGACAGACGGGGGCGCTCTCGGAGCAGAAGGGAAAGGACGGTGATGGAGCGGGCCCCACATTTGTGCCCTAACAGTTCAGTGGTACAAGGAAGACAAACCTTGAGACTTGTGAGGCCGCGGAGAAGCCTAAAACTAGAGTGCAGGCATTGGCACGCCGGGATGTGCCGGAGAGGGGCACTGCCCCTCGAGAGCAAGGCACCCAAGAAGCCCTGTTGACAAACACGGTTCTCGTTGCCGGGCGGCCCTGGCTCCCGTAGGCCCTGACTGTTGCTAACATCAAAGAGCTGTTTATAGAGCCACCTCCCCACGGACTGGCCTCCGAGTGTCTCTCCCTCCAACCAAGGCCCATGGGGCCCTCCCTCCAGGGTTCTCCCGGCAGGCAGGCCTGGGAAGCTGGAGCTGGGGAATGCTAGCTAGCTCCCGGATTCAGCTTTCCGCTCTCTTGACCCCGGGGAAGGCAGCGCCGGGTACTGCGACTAACTCTGATTAGGCAACGAACCGGTTAACCTGTTCCACCCAGCGGACTCGGGAAGTGGCTGCTACGTCACTGCCAATTCGGCGTTTTCATTGGCGGACGTATGCAGAGCTCGCCAATCCAGAACCGGCCTCCCAGGACCCACCAATCCAGACGCGGTAATGCGCAGCGCAGCTGCGGGCCGCCAGAATGGAGTGGACGGAGAGTCGGAGGGACCCCAAAAGTTAGGGGCGGGGATACCACGCTTGAACCTGCTCACCAGCTAAGCCTGGGAAAACCGTGTGCTGCCGAACTCTGGGCCCCCGGAGGGTTTGAGCTTGGGAGATAGTGTGGGCGTGGGCCTTATCTGCACACTGACAGGAGAGACTGGTCCTAGGGCCTCTCTACCACTCATTTTCTCTGGTTCCCCCTATCTCGTGGGTAAGTCCTGGCCTCTGAACGAAGACCTGACTCTTCCACCAGCACTTACAGGCGCGCCCTGCCTTAGATGCTCACAAATCAGTAAGTGCCCAGAGGTGGGGGTACGGGACCAGTGGGGGTTTCTGCAGTGGTAAAAACAGGGTGCCTCCAGTTCTGCCGGGTTTCTCCACCTTTCCCCTAGGCCTTACAATGGGCCGGACTGTGATCGTGCTTGGTGGAGGTATCAGTGGATTGGCCGCAAGTTATCATCTGATCCGAGGCCCCTGTCCCCCTAAAGTGAGTCCCCACTAGAACCAGAGAGAGACTCTTTTGATACTCAACATTTCCAGCAAAAACTGGATAGATTTTTGTCCCGTGGAATGTGCAGCCCACTCCCCGTCCTTTTCCCGGTGCCTTTTCCCTGCACCCACAGTGTCTCACTTTTGGCGCCAGGTGATCTTAGTGGAGGGCAGCAAGCGTTTGGGAGGCTGGATCCGCTCGGTCCGAGGATCAGATGGTGCGATCTTTGAACTTGGACCTCGAGGAATTAGGCCGGCTGGAGTGCTGGGAGCCCGAACTCTGCTCCTGGTGAGCATCTTGTGGACTGTATAGGGACAGGTAGTGGAGGAGAGGTTTCCAAAGGGATCGAGTTGCAGAGGGGAAAGACATTCGTGGGGCCAGTTTCTCCTTAGTGTCTCCTCTTCCTGAGGGCTTGTGGAGAACAGGTTTCTGAGCTTGGCTTGGAGTCGGAAGTCTTGCCTGTCCGAGGGAATCACCCAGCTGCCCAGAACAGGTTCCTGTATGTCGGCGGTGCTCTGCACCCGCTACCCTCTGGCCTCAGGTAACAGCTCACCTCCTAACTGTACACCCCTTCCATTTGTTCCCTGGCAGCCTTTCCGGCCACAGGGGTTAACTGAATGAAAATAACCCCCAGGAGCTGGGAAGGTGACTCTGGGAGCTTTCTTTTCACCGTGACTTCCTCCATGCAGGGGGCTACTCCGTCCTTCACCCCCATTCTCCAAACCTCTGTTTTGGGCTGGGCTGAGGGATTTGATGAAGCCCAGGGGCAAAGAGCCTGATGAGACTGTGCACAGTTTTGCCCAGCGCCGCCTTGGACCTGAGGTGACACTACTCAGAGGGGGTCTCAAACCTCTCCCTTCCTAAATCAGCTGCTGCGTGCGTCTAGGGATGCCCTCTTTCTGTTGTTGGAATCTCTAAATCTCAGTCCTGGGAATAAATGCCTTTCTTCCCTTCCCATCCTTGTGTTACAATGGGAACACCCCCCCCCCCAACATAAACTCTCTCCTTCCCTCTCCCCTCCCAAGCAGGGGCAATGAAAATCAATCAGGGTGGCTTATTCCTTGGCCCCTCAGACCCAGTCTTATCCTTAAGGTGGCCTCTTTAGCCATGGACAGTCTTTGCCGAGGAGTGTTTGCAGGCAACAGCCGTGAGCTCAGTGTCCGCTCCTGCTTTCCCAGCCTCTTCCAAGCAGAGCAAACCCACCGGTCCATATTACTGGGGCTGCTGCTGGGGGCAGGTGAGGGGGGGGGTCCTTGGTTCAAAGGGTGAAATGTAAAGCCTGACAAAGTGAGGCACTGCATACAAGGGGTACTATTTTGACAGTATATGTTTTGCCTCCTTTTAGGACGGAGTCCACAGCCAGATTCCTCATTAATTCGTCAGGCCCGGGCTGAGCGATGGAGCCAGTGGTCACTCCGTGGAGGGCTGGAGATGTTGCCCCAGGCCCTTCACAACCACCTAACTAGGAAAGGGGTCACTGTCTTCGAAGGTCGGCCAGTCTGTGGGCTCAGCCTCCAGCCAGAAGGGCGATGGAAGGTAGGAGAACCCTCTGGAGTGTACTAAGCCTGTATCAGTGTTACTGGTTTTGTTGTCGCTGATGTTATTTTGAATATTGCACAAATATATTTAGCAAAAAGTCTCATATGAAAATGTGCACGACCCAATTTTATGCCATAAACAGGCCCTCTGGGCAGAGATGTGGACTTCTCTGCTAAACATTCCTTTCTTTAAACTTGGTCCAAGACTTTAAAACATGATGGTACTGTTTCCTCATATGACTACCATTCTAATAGTCTGTTGCCTTCTAGTTGCCATCTCTACGTACCTATCAGTCACAAAATTCATAAAGGCATCGAAGTCCTACAGTATTCCTCGGATATATCTGCCACCTTTTAATGTCTATGATAACTTCTTGTCCATAAATTCTTTCTGTTGTGGAGTGAGCAGGGAACTGAAGAAATAGCTCAACAGTTAAGAGCATATACTGCCTTTGCGGAAGACCTGGGTTCAGTTCCCAGAACCCACGTGGCTCATAACTGCCTATAATTCCAGCTCAGGGGCTCAGGCGACCTCTACTGGACTCCACAGGCACCTGCACTCATGTGCACACACTGGACTTACTGTTTTCTTGCCTTAGAGAAGCTATTTAGATATTGGCTACCTCAGGTTCCTAGGCTTTATTTGTGGGCCTTCCTCAAAAAGCCCTTAGGTATGTGAATAGTAGCGCTTGTGAGTGTCTGGGGACAGGGAAAGGACAACTCACCTTCATTGAACATTTCAGAGCAGCCACACTGGCTTCTTTCTGGACTATACAGAGGATTTTTGTTGTTCAGATGATACTGTCATTCATATTCTTTATCCTGGGTCAACATCCAGACTTTCCTGTTTCTTGGGTACCTGGGAAACTAAGAGTGAGGCTGCAAATCTCACTTAACTGTAAAGTCCTCATAACACCCTATCTCTCAAATGTTATCACTCAGGTGTCTCTAGGGGACAGCAGTCTGGAGGCTGACCACATTATTAGTGCCATTCCAGCTGCAGGTAATGGAATAGTCCCTCCCTTTCCCTAACCATCAAGAAGCAATAGTATGCCTTCCTGTGCCAGCAGGGCCATATTGGGTTCCTGAACTGGTCATCCCTGAGGGATTCCTATAGACAAAGCTAGCCTAGTATGAATGCCTCTGCCTGATCCCCAGTGCTCAGCAAGCTGCTCCCTGCTGAGGCTGCACCTCTTGCTCGTGTCCTGAGTACCATCACTGCTGTGTCTGTCGCTGTGGTGAATCTACAGTACCAAGGAGCTTGTCTGCCGGTTCAGGTATGAGAATGGGAAGGAGGAAAAGGAGGGGAGACAGAGGCTCAGTGAGAGCCCTTCTTCCCTCCTGATTCACAGGCATCTTCCTCTCCAGGGATTTGGACATTTGGTGCCATCATCAGAAGACCCAACTGTCCTGGGGATCGTGTATGACTCAGTTGCTTTTCCTGAGCAGGATGGGAACCCTCCATGCCTCAGAGTAACTGTGAGAGAAGCTTATGGTGGGGTTTCCTCTGTGCCTTAGCGCAGGCAAGTGCAGGATGGTCAATGCTGTATTTCCTCACAGGTGATGCTGGGAGGCTACTGGTTAGAGAGACTAGAAGCCGATGGCCATGACCTGTCTCCAGAGCTGTTCCAACAGCAAGCACAGGAAGCAGCTGCCACGCACTTAGGGCTGAGGGAGCGGCCGAGTTACTGCCTGGTCCATTTACACAAGGTGAGCTGAGATAAACTCTTATTAGTTCCCCGTCGAAAGCAAGAACTAACGTGCTTATCAGTAGGTCAGCCAAGGCCTTGGAAACCAGCAATAAACTTTCCCTTACACCTTATCTCTCCCTAGAACTGTATCCCTCAGTATACACTAGGCCACTGGCAAAAACTAGGTAAGTTGGGGAAGCGGCTGGGCTGAGGAAGTCAGACCCCAGCTACATAGCATTCCTTTCATCCTCCCTTGCCTTTCAGAGTCAGCTCTGCGTTTCCTGACTGCTCAAAGGTTACCCCTGACTTTGGCTGGAGCTTCCTATGAGGGGGTCGCTGTCAATGATTGTATAGAGAGTGGGCGCCAGGCAGCACTCGCTGTCCTGGGCACAGAATCTAACAGCTGATCTCCCCCCCCCCCCTTTCCGCTCATGAAAATAAAACTTGCTGGAACTTGGTCTTGCTTTTCTGTCAACCTCCAGGCTCATTGGGGCTGGGGTTGGGAGGGGGGGTGAGGATAAAGTGGTCTGGCATACAGAAAACACGAGCAAAGGTGAGACTAAGTCCTTTATTAGAAAAGGTATCAAAATCCCAGCCCCCTGGGCCAAGACCACAGGAGCTACTCCAGCACGGGCAGGAAATGCCCTGGTAGGGGCTTCCTCCACCAGAACAGCTTCTTGGGAACCATAAATAGAATAAATATTCACAGAGGTCCCAGGAGAAGCCAGGTCACTCTTGGAAAGGAGTGACATCCATGGACGAGGAAGGGGCTTGGGGTCCTGCCCTGCGCCTGCCTACCCCGGGGGCCGGGGACTCCTAGGATTCGTCACATAAAATGACATCAAGGATTCACAGTCATAAGCCCTGACAGGTGGCCCCTAGAAAGAGGAACCTCCAGGTCTAGAGGAGCCCAGCTCCAGTCTAACAGTGAGGAGAGGTCCCTGCCCCCCAGCACAGCACTAGGGTTTAGTTCCCTCACATCCCTCCGAAAGCAGTGAGGAGCAGAGGGCGTGGGGAACACGACCCCTCTGGTTCGGTTTCATGATTAAAGTGGACAGAGAAGAATCAGTGTGAACCGTGGGGAGCTGTGTGGTTGGCAGTAGGCAGAGGACCAGGCCTCGCTGGGGGCCGGCGATGCAGCATCTCTTGTCGGAAGGCCTGGGAGGAACCCGGTGGGTATCGGGGACCAGAGGGAGCCCGAGGACCTCGAGGGTCAGTCCCAATGTCTGCAGTGATGTTGGTATAGAGAGGACCCAGCTCTCTAGCCAGCAACTGGTATGTCAGTGAATTCATTCCATCTTGTGTCCAAGAATTCTGGGTACGGACCAGGAGGTCAAATCTGAGGGTTAAAGGTTTAAGACTAAGATCTAAAAGGCACAGTCTGGGACTTAGGGGCATTTAGGAGTTTGCTGAAGAGAGGAAGACTGGGACCCCAGCAACCATTCCCTTCCTACCTGTGGGGGTTTTCCTCATTGCCTTTATCGCCTCTGTGCTTCACCATCTTATAGTGCCCCACAGAGGTGGGGGGTCGGGAGATCTTCATCCCAGCCAGGCGAACCCTATGAGAGAAGGGAAGGAGTCTTGGAGGAGCTAGAATGGAAAAAAAGTTGCTGGCAGGTAAATGAGAAAAGTAAAGACCATCAAGGAAGCGATGACATCTGCCTGGACACAGAGTAATGATGTCTGCCTGGCAAGAACAGAAAAATCAAATAAATAAAAACTGCCAAGTATGAGAAGGCCGGGGAAGATCAAATAGAAGAAAATGAAGTTCTCAGGCAGATCTAAGTCCGCAGGGCCCAATGCCAGGAGCCCTGGGGCCTTACAAGAACTGGCAGAGGTAGATAGGTCACTTTCAGACCTTTTTAAATGGCTCCTAGCAGTTGCCCTTGGAGTCTTGGGAGGACAGAGAAAGGGGCCATTTTGTCTAAAGCACAGAAATGGCAGACCCAAACTCAGCCATCTCTGCCTCTTCCCCTTTGGGCATTGAAAGTGGGGCTTACATATGTGAAACACACACGTGACCACTGAGCTGCACCCCCTAGCCCAGCAAGTCTTACTTAGAAATAGTGTCTAAGCTCCCCCACTCCTTTCTAGCTGCTGCCCTGTGTAAAAGAGAAGAACAGAGGCAGACAGGTGATCAGGACCTTAAAGAAGCCCCAGACTGAAACACAGAAGCAAGAGGGGAGGTACTCTGACAAGGAACTGAAAAAAATACATCTAGAATTATTTTCAGGGTATAAAACACACACACACACACACACACACACACACACACACACACCACACACACACCACACACACACACACACACACACACACACACACACACACACACACACACACAGATGAGAATTCACATAAAGATGTCATTACAGGGGACATAAGGGGAGGCAATGGATCCAGCATGCCAAGCTCAAATACACTGCACACGAAACTGGTTCACTGGAGGCTAAAGGTAAGAATGTTTCACATGCTAAGAAATGAGGTGGCATTATGTCAATCATCCTCTCCATCTTTATTTCCTTTTAAGAAAGGAAGGAAGGAAGGAAGGAAGGAAGGAAGGAAGGAAGGAAGGAAGGAAGAAAGAAAGAAAGAAAGAAAGAAAGAAAGAAAGAAAGAAAGAAAGGAAGAAAGAAAGAAAGAAAGAAGGAAAAAGAAAGAAAGAAAAAAGTGATTCTGGGCTATATGGAGCAGAATCCTTCTCCCCCATTCTCACAGAAGTAGTCTCTATGTAAGCCTATCAGAATGAAGAACTAACCTGTCTTTAGGCCCCTTCCTGAGATCTAGAATTCCGTATTTCCAGGTGATCTGACCTCTTTTCCCAAGAATATAATCAACCAGGTCTATCTAGAAAACGGGAATCTGACAGAATGGGCAGCAGTGGGCAGAGCCTGTCCTGGGTAGACTAAGGTCAACGGAAAGGATTGGGCTCAGTGCAGAACCAGGAAGTTAAAGATCTGTGTTGAAAGACTGTGGCCAGGGTTTGGGAAAGAAGTCTGACCTGGTGGCGATGTCATCATCCTCACCACCCCAGCCCCAATATTCATTGGGGAAGCCGTTCATCTTCAGGTACTGGTCAGGAGTGAGGGCCGAAACCCCACCGAAGTACTGAGGGTACGGGAGGCTAAGGAGAAAAAGATCCTCGTAGTTCACAAATTTAGAGCATCAACCCTACCCACCATCCCCTTAGCTCTCATCCTCCTGCAAGGCTGGTCTCCCTGCTTTCTAGTACCCTTCTATGCCCTCTACCTGTATCCAAACTTGTTCATGGCAACAGCAACATGGCGAGGTCCCCGGGGGTCGCACACATAGAGGTTATGGTCATTTTCTGGAAGGAGGTCCACATCATGTAAGAACAAGCAGTCCCATTCTTCATCACGCAGGGCTTCCCGCACCCCAACATTCAGGAGTTTGGCTCTGTTAAACGTTCCATTTCCAGCCTGGAAGGTAACAAAGGGGACCAGGCTATGCATGGAGAAAGTAGGCAGCATGCATGCTGAAGGAAAAAGAGGACCATCGAAGCGGCATATGGGGCCGGCCCAGAGAAGGGAGAACAAGATGAACAGCTGAGCCCGTTGGTACCTGACTGTAATTCCAGCACTCGGGAGACCGAGGCAGGAAGATCTGGAGTAGACTAGAAACAAAACAGGGACTAGAGATGGGGCTCAGTCGGTAGAAGCTTATCCAGCTATCATTAAGGCCTGGGCAAAGTCGCCAGCACCAAACCAAGTATGGTAGCATGGGCCTGTAATCTCAGCAGTGGGAAGGTGGATGCAGGAGGATCCGAAGTTAAAGGTCATCCTCAGCTACATAGTAAATTCTGAGGCCAGCCTGGGCTACATGAGACCCTATCTCAAAAAATAAAACAAATACATATTTGTTTTGCACATACATATAGGCAGGCAAAATACACATAAATAAATTAGTTTTTAAAAAATTGCAGAACTAGTATTTTAGCTCATCCTTGGCCAATTCCAAATTTGCAAAAGCCACAACAAAAGAAAAATCATAGAAAAATACAGGAGAGTAGGAATACCCTACCAGAATAGGGAAACAGACCTAACAGAATAAGCATGGAACTAACGAAGTTGACCAGCAAGGCTTCTCCATTATCTATTGTCTGATCCTCTTAACAATTATCCCACAGACCCATTAGATGAGAGAAGAGGCATTTATTTGAGGGTTCCTGAACATCAAAGAAAGAGTAAAGAGCTGGGCAGCGGTGGCTCACATCTTTAATCCCAGTACTTGGGGGGCAGAGGCAGGTGGATTTCTGTAAATCTGAGGCCAGCCTGGTCTACAGAGTGAATTCCAGGAAAGCCAGAGTAACCCTGTCTCAAAAGAATAGGCTGGAAAGTGGGGTTACCTGGTGGATGACATAGATGCCATATGCAAGCTGCTGGCGCTGTAGGAAGGGGTGCAGGTGATAGAGCAGCAGCCGCAGGTGGTGCTCCCGGGCACGGTGGGGCACGATTATGGCCGTCCGGGAGCGTGGCTCACATTCCGCAGGACGGTACCGGCCCCCTGGCTCCACCCGGGGATTCCGCTCCACAATCTCGGCGAGCGATGGCACTGGGCTAAACGATACTGACACGGGACCCACTGTTGGTAGGAAACGGCAAGTTCAGCAATCGGAGGCACAAGGAGGACATGGGTAGCAGAATCTGAGAACACCTCTGGCCAAAAAGCCTGATTCTGGGCTCACTTCCCCAAGGGCTCACTCATAAATCTACCAAGCCTTGGATTTCCCTCATTAAAGGCAGCTCCACAAAGCCTAAAGCCACAGGCAGGCTCCTTACCTTCAACTACTTACTTTCTTATTTTAGGGTTTCTAGATAACTCTCTCTTGTCCCACACTGAAGCTACAGGAGAAGAGCACAAGGACTTCTACCTAATAAAGCCAAGACTCATCTACAAGAGAAGTTATTCCTACCCTGGGGGCATGAAGAGCTCATAAAATGGGCACTCGGTGGAAAGCTTGTGACCCAAGAGCCTAATCTGCCCTCTGAATTCACAGGCCACTCTCTCAACATCAGGCCACCTTAGAGCCCATTAATCTAAGTCTCAGTTCATGCCAACCCAAGACTCCCTGGCCCCACACCTTGTTCTCTTCTTCACCTTCTTGCCTCTGTACTCACCTAAGAAAGGAGATCTCTCTGGACAGTAAGGCAGAGCTTGAGCTGGGAGAGCCCCTGCGGCTCCAGGGGCCCCGGGCAGGTGACTGAGGTTAGTATAGACATCATGGGGATGAGAATAATCAAACGTTGGGCCCTGGTCCCGGCCAAAGAGGGCACTAAGGCTTCGGAAGCCCCCTAGTGACAGATACATCATAACTGCCAGCTGGGAGCCCACAAGCAGGGCCAGTGTGCAGGGCCTCTCCAGCAGCCTCCGCAACATCCTGCCGAGGGCTAAGGAGAGAGGGAAGGAATTTCTGGAAGCCAACAGGGAGGGAGAGAGCATGCCAGCAGAGACATCAGCAGGGAGAAAGTGGTGCCGGGGAGAGGAAGAAAAACAGGCAGAGAACAAAGTCACAATAAGGAACACAGCTATAATCAAACAAGGGGGGAAAAAAACAAACCCAGAAGGTAACCAACCACGAGCAGTCCGTATACAGATCACTAAAGCTCAGGTTTCATTTTCATCCACTTCACCCGCTTTCAGTCTCCACCCTCAAGAAAGCTTACATCATTCAAGTCCCAAGTCCATTTCAGAAGTTTTTAAGAGTCCCTCCAGTCTTACAAAAGAACAGACACACACACACACCTGTGTTCAGGCTGTCTTCTTCCGGATCATGGGGGCTCCAGGAGGTCCCCGGGGAGCAGAGATGTGAGGCATTATCTAAAATTGGAACTGGCACGGAAGACAGAAAAAGGCATTCCAACAGCCAATCTGGGACCAGCGGGAACAGAAGCGATCAAGGAGAACCAGTCACCTGTACAGCAGAGATCAAGATCAGGAAGAAACAACTTTCCCATCACGGGAAGTGCGGGGGGGAAAGTGATTGGAAAAAGAAAAGACGCCAGGTCAAGTCTCTCTCGGGCTACCTGCCGTGGTATCAGGTCTGTCCCTCACCCTCTACTCCAACAAAACGAGTTTGTTCGGGGAGTGGTGGACAGGGAAATGAATGGAGGCCAAACTATTCAAGAGGCAAGGCAGTTGTGACAGTACCTTGGAGTGGCCTAGAAAACAGAGTAAAACAGGAAACGGGTTCTTTCTGTTCTTCACGTCCCAGGGAGCGCCTCCGCAGGTGCAGGGTGCATGACCACCTGGGAGCTGCGTGCAAGCAAGCAACCCCGGAGCGTGGCCCAGAGAAGGGTGGGGTGGTGTCCTCTACCTTTTCCACCTTTCTCCAAGCCTCGTGGGGGTGGAAAGGAGAGGTCTAGGTGAACGGAGAGGGAGGGGCAGGGCAGAGTCGGCCCAGGACACCAGGGCCGGCTCACCTGGAAGGGCGTGGCCAGCGCTGTGCGCGCGCGGGGGATGGGGATCAGAACCTCATTCTTTGCGGGCACGCCCATCCCACCAATCTTTTGGGTTTGTCCCTGCCGTGCAACGTGAAGGCAACCGGCCCGCGTCCACATTTCCACCCGAGACCCTGTCTATGCTCAATCTGGATTTCCAGCCTTTGCTCAGAACTTCTCCTCCCCACCCCCGACCTCCCGAACCGTTCTCCGAGGATTCTCTCTCCAAGGTCCCAAGCCCACCCTACCTGGTCTGCTCCCCGTCGTCACCGCCACTCGGACGGCCGGGCAGGTATCGCCGCCGCCATCTTGGAAGCGGGCGCTGGGGGCGGGGCCCGCGTCACGGGGCGGAGCCTCTGGCGGGCAGGCGCAGGGGCCCGGTACCGCCTAGCCTGCTAGCCCCGTGGCCGGTCACCTGCACCGCCCAGAGGCTCGGTAAGGTCGCAGAGGAGTCCCAGACCCCGGCGCTTCCTCTCCACCTTAGTCTCCTAACGGGGTTCCACTGCTCACCTCAGGGCGCAGCAGCTCAAAGCCCTTGTTTCTCAGTAGGGCGGAGAACCAGTGTCTGATGCATCGGACGACCTCACCCCAGGGTAGGCTGAGCCCTCTTCCCCAGGGTGTCAACGGCGCCCCCTGTAGCCTAGTGCTACTTAGTTTCTCTCTGAGGTTACTGTAACGCATTTGTATCCGCAAGGTATTATCGCACAGGCCTTGAAATGCAAAGTTGGTTAACAATGAAACAGAGCGTGTGGACGGAAAGGCAGAGTCGGCTATGATGTAAATATGCTTTCCTAGGTAGTAGACTAAATTAGACGCTACAACGATGTGCAAGATATTTTAATCCTGTGGCTTCTACCAGCCCGTAGCTTATTGTTTCTTAGAAGCAAATGTTCAGGCCAAGGAAACAATAAAAGACCAATTATGTACGGTGTTTGCCTCAAAAAGCGCACTGTCTCCTGTGTGTGTTGGGGGTGGGGGGAGAGGGCGGGTAACCAACTATAGTGCAGTGATCATGATGACCCAAAAGGACACCTCGTTCACATGTGGCTATCCTGGGCAAGCTTCTCAAAATTAGTCATGTCTAACGGGAAGCCTGAAGGACTTGTCTACAGCATATCTTGCTTTAAACATTGTTTTCATGAAAGTTATCTTACAACTTCGTATAGGTGAGTAACCTGCATGAAATTCTGTCTAGTAAACACCACTTGGAGAAAAAAAACCAAAACAAGTATTTGTCTCTATTTTCTCATTCAATTTTTTTCCCCCCCGACACAGGGTTTCTCTGTGTAGCTTTGCGCCTTTTCCTGGAACTCACTTGGTAGTCCAGGCTGGCCTCGAACTCACAGAGATCCGCCTGGCTCTGCCTCCCAAGTGCTGGGATTAAAGGTTTGCGCTGCTGCCACCCTGCCAGCAGAAGCAGCAGGAGGTAGGATTCTCTTCTTATCCAAATATTAGACAAATTCTGCTCGGCTAGGCCCTCTTTTGAACTAGATCTTATCTTTGGCCCTATCCTGGTCCTGCCCAGTTTTAGCCAAAAAGAATCCTGCCAAACCAGGTAAGCAAGAGTCGTACCACCATCCCCTTGATACCTGATCACCCCCATCTGCCTTCAGGTCAGTTTGCCGAGGACCCCTCTATTTGTGATGTCATTTTGAGGCCAAACACAGACTCATTTGACTCACTGTCAAATTCCCACAACCCTGTTCTTCCTGCCTCCCTCATCTTTTCCCTCTTACAGTCATCCTGAATGAAGTCTCTCTTACTGCCCCAAGTGTCAGAATATAGAAAGCATGGATGCTGAGATTGGACTGAAGCACTCAGCAGGAGGTGAAATATTCTAAGCACGGGAAAGTAAGATGAGGGGCGACAGGTAAAAGCACTTGATGCCAAACCCAAAGACCTGAATTCGATTCCCGAAAACCACTGGTAGGGGAGAACTGACTCCCACAGGATATTCTCTGAGTCCACACATATACACACATTTACACACATGTGCTCACACATATATACACAATCAGTCAATCAATCAATAAATGTGAAAAAAATGGAAAGACTGTAAACCACTTAAAAAGAGTGTAGAGCAGAGGATGTAGGTCAATGGTGGATCACCACAATTCTTAATGCCATGGTTTTATCTGGAGGGCAAGAAAAAGGCATGAAATTGCTCTGCTCAGAATGTTTCTCTGATGGAGAGGTGGAGCATTTTTTTTGTTTTGTTTTTTGTTTGTTTGTTTGTTTGTTTTTGAGACAGGGTTTCTCTGTGTAGTTTTGGTGCCTGTCCTGGATCTCGCTCTGTAGACCAGGCTGGCCTCAAACTTACAGAGATCCACCTGGCTCTTCCTCTTGAGTGCTAGGATTAAAGGCATGTGCCACCACCGCCCTGCTGATGTGGAGCATTATTAAAGTGGTCAAGGTTGGAACTAGATCTCCATCTCAGTGGTTATTTGTTTAGCCTTGGCAAAAAGTAGAAAGACAAGAGTCAAGAAGGCCACGTAGGCAGTTACTGTAGAAATCAACTCTGAGATAAAGCTTATGCAAATAATGTATTATTAGAGCCAGAGAGAAGACTCAGTGGTTAAGAGCACTCATTGCTCTTATAGGAGACCCGGGCTTGATGCTCAGCAGCTTTACACAGCAGCTCACAATCTTCTGTAATTCTAATACCAGGGATCCAATATCCTATTCTGGCTCCCAAGGACACTAGACATATATGTGGTACACGTATATACATGCAAGCAAAACACTCACACACATAGTTAAATCTTTTTGTTAAAAATAATATGAGTGACTGGATGTTGTGGTACATGCCTTGGCTAGCCTGGAGCTTACTTATGTAGACCAGGCTGGCCTCACCTGCCTCTGCCTCCTTAGCACTGGTTTGTTTTGTCTTTTTGAAACAGGTAGTACCATCTGGTCTGGTACTCATAGCAATCATTCTGCCTCAAGCTCTCAAGTTCTGAGGGATTATAGGCATGAGCCACCACATCTGGCAGATAGGGTTCAATACTTTCTTTTTTTTTAATCTATTTATTTTTATTTTATGAGCTTTAGTATTTTGCCTGCATGAATGGCTGTGTAAGGGTGTCAGGTTCCCTGGAGTTACAGACAGTTGTGAGCTGCCATGTGGGTGCTGGGAATTGAACCCCAATCTTCTGGAAGAGGAGTCAGTGCTCTTAACCACTGAGCCATCTCTCCAGCCCTGGGTTCTGTTCTTTCAAAAACTAACCTTCATGATCTTTCCTTGCTTGGCGTGTGTGTGTGTGTGTGTGTGTGTGTGTGTGTGTGTGTGTGTGTGTGTGTGTAGTGGTACATGTGTGTGCATGTATGTGGAAGCTATAAGTCAGCTTTGGGCGTTGTTCTTTGGGAGCTGTTCACCTTGCTGTTCTTTTTTTTTTTTTTAAAGATTTATTTATTTACTATATACATACAGTCTTCTGTCTTACACATATCCATGCAAGCCAGAAGAGGGCACCAGATCTCATTACAGATGGTTGTGAGCCACCATGTGGTTGCTGGGAATTGAACTCAGGACCTTTGGAAGAACAAGCAGTGCTCTTAACCTCTGAGCCATCTCTCCAGCCCCGACCTTGCTGTTCTTTTAGATATGTTTATTTCTTTTTAATTTTTTAGATTCAATTATTTTATTTTGTGTGTATGAATATTTTCTCTTTATGTATGTATGTGTACCACACACATGCCTAGTACCCACAGCAAACCAGTAGAGGGTGTTGGAACCCCTGGAACTGGAGTTACAGGTGGTTGTGAGCTGCAGTGTTGGGGGGCTGGGAGCTAAACCTGGTCTTCAAGAGCGGCAAGTATTTTAAACCACTGAGCCATCTCTTCAGCCCTTCACTTAGTCTTTTGAGACCAGATCTAGAACCTGAGATTTGCTGCTTTTTTTAAAAAAATATTTTTTTAAGATTTATTTATTTATTATGCATACAGAAGAGGGTGCCAGATCTCATTACAGATGGTTATGAGCCACCATGTGGGTGCTGGGAATTGAACTCAGGACCTCTGGAAGAACAGTCGGTGCTCTTAACCTCTGAGCCATCTCTCCAGCCCCAAGATTTGCTACTTAGGCTAGGTGGGCTGGCTAGCTACTCTCAGAGAGCCTGTTCCCACCTCTGTTCTAGGGTTACAAGTACACTGTGGCATGCACTTCACCAACGGAACTGCTTCAGACCCGTTTTCTTTTTTTCTTTCTTTTCTTCTTCTTCTTCTTCTTCTTCTTCTTCTTCTTCTTCTTCTTCTTCTTCTTCTTCTTCTTCTCCTCCTTCTCCTCCTCCTCCTCCTCCTCCTCCTCCTCCTCCTCCTCCTTCTTCTGTTTGTTTTTTGGTTTTGGAAGCAGTTTTTCTCTGTAGCCCTGGCCATCCTGGAACTCACTTTGTAGATTAGCCTGGCCTCAAACCCAGAGATCTGCCTGCCTCTGCCTTCTGAGTGCTGGGATTAAGGGCATGAACTTACATAGCCTAGGCTGGCCTCGAATTCCTGGCAAGTCTCCTGCCTCAACTTTCTGAGTGCAAGAATTATAGTAATGTACCACCACACCCAGCAGGATTTTTTTTAAAGACTTATTTATTTATTTTATGTATATGAGTGCTCTATCTGCATGTATGCCTTAATGCCAGAAGAGGGCATCAGATCCCATTATAGATGGTTGTAAGCCACCTTGTGGTTGCTGGGAATTGAACTCAGAACCTCTAGAAGAACATCCAATGCTCTTAACCCCTGAGCCATCCCTCCAGCCCTGACCCCGCCCCACCCCAAGCAGGATTTTTTACCTTATTCTTGAGACTCATTTTCCTGATCTCTCTCCTCTCTCCTCTTCCTCCTTCTTCTCTTCATCCTCCTCCTCTTCTTCTCCCCCCTCCACCTCTCTCTCACTCTTGTGAATATTTGCATATACATTATCAAGAGAATGTGCCTAACATGTCTCTGTCAGGGTGTGTATGTGTGTGTGTGTGTGTGTGTGTGTGTGTGTGTGTAAGATGTGTGTCACTGTTTTTGAGAATTCATGAGGCCTTTTGTTAGTTGAAGACTATAAAGGATGCTTAAATATACTTCCACCCTCCTCTCCTTCCCGAGGCTAATTAAGTACTCGGAGCCTGTCCCCATATAAGGCCCTGTCTGGGGTGTTGTTGAGTATTGTTGCTCCCCCCAGCTCCTCTGGCTCCCCTCTTTCTAAGCATATTTAGAAGTGGTGGTTTCCTCCAGCTGTCAGCTGGTTACTCTCGCTGCCAAAGATTTTGGCATCCCCCCCAGCAACAGTTAATGGGGAAGGTATTCAATTGGCTCCGAAGCATCATTCTCTTAGCCAATCAAATGTTAATCCTTTGAATCCAACCCCTTGCCCCTTCCTGACCAGCTCTGACCAATGAGATACTGCTTTATCGCTGTCAACCTACTATTTTAGAGAGAGAGAGAAAAAAGTACTGTGTGGAGAGGAAAGAAGTGGAGCAAGAGTTCATACCCATTCCACAGCACTCCAGAAACCCTGGCTCTCCCACCACCACCACAAAACAGGGATTGGACAAAAGCCCAGATTTCCTCTGCTCTAACCACAGAAGTGAGACTGTCAGGGCCAGGCAGG